GAGCATGACATTGCCAGAGGAGGCACGGACGAGGGTGCTGCTGCCCTTTGAGCGCTGGTGGTCGTTGATCATGTTGTCCAGCTCAGATGATATGCTGACATTCCGCTCGAGTCCAGAGCGGCCTTGCATTGGTCTGGCGGCAACCTTGGGATAATTTAGAGGCGCCGGAGGAGGTTTGGACGCGTTCGGTAATGCAAGAGAGGGTTCATCGGATAAAGAGCGCCTGCGTGGCGTGAGGTTGGCAGCAGCAGAAGCGGTGGAGGTGGGGGGAGCGCCGGGATGTGTTGGGATGGAATTAGTAGAGGCTGAGCGGCTGAGCGGCGAGGAGAGGTGGGTTGGCGACGGAATACATTGTTGTAAAGGAGGACAAGGCCGCACCCTGACGGCTTCACACGATCCTCATCATCCGTTTTTCCTTCCTTCATATTTCGTCTACAATATCGATATATTTGTATGTAGATATGACAAATAATGATATGATATGGATGGATCAATCAAAGACAAGGCGAGGGGCGTTAAGAACAGAGAGGGAGACGCAACGTTTTTGTTTCTTGTCGCTTTTAATTGCATGTCTAGCAACTGAGATCACAGTGAGACGCAGAAACATGTATGTATGTACAAAGTTAGGAGGATAGGAAAAGAAAAAGGCGACCCCAGGAAGAATTGGTGTTTGTGTGATTTTATGTCGCACAAACCTTCCCTCCTGGAGCGGCTCTCTCTTTTTCTGTTTTCTTCTTCCTTCAATCCCAATCTCTCCCTCCCTGTGATCCGTCCCTGTCAAAGTTAAATGAATTTGCCCAACAAGCAGATTAAAAAAAAAAAAATTTAATATCCAACAAATTATTGAAAGAGAAGGGGGCAAAAAATTAGAAGAGAAAGGAGGAGGAGAGAGAAAATCTATTGACTTTCAGTTTTTTCTTGTTCTTCTTTTGGTATGTTTTTCTTCCCCACTTTTTTTTTTTTTTTTTTTTTTTTCTGACTTTCAGTTTTTTCTTGTTCTTCTTTTGGTATGTTTTTCTTCCCCACTTTTTTTTTTTTTGTGCCGGAAGGACCGAACACCTCTGTTCCAATGGTTATTATTAAAAGGTGGGGCGATTTTAACGGGACATGGGGGCAATTCTTTAATAACACACAAGAAGAATCACATAGTCTGTCAACCAGAACGTGAACAGAATAGAGCTAAACTGACAGCAGCAGGCTTCTAATTTTTTGAGGTAAGGACGCCAATCCTCAATCCTGACAGATAGAAATAGTAAAGTTTGAACCCACTCCCTTTTCTGACAAAAAAAAACCTCTGACCAGAGCCAGGCACTAACCTAGGTTGTCAACTGGACACAATATCCTGGTTGGCTATCTCTACTCCCAGGCTTTTCTATGCCCTGACCGTGATTGAGTTATGCATAACTACTAAAAAAAGAATAATAAAAAAAAACTTAAGTCTTGTGAGAAAACAAAAGAAAAATGTGTAAGAGGTCCAGAACCATTAAAACTAGGAATAATTCCACCAAAACCCATAATCTGATATCATTCTCAATCCAGTGCTGTTACTTGTTTATATACCGCACGTTCAAGTCTGAGTATGAAAATCATTCAGTTATAGCAGCACCGGCAGTAATGCAATGCGTGCACCCACAATTCTACACAGGCTGTGGTAAACATACATTCTCTCTTGTACTCAACAACCAACACCAAAACTTGGCACTGTCTGCCTGCTAAGAACATTTCATCAACAACTATCACGATACAATAGTGCACAACTAGAAACCCATCATATCTTTTCTTTTCGAGGAAGCGTGACTTCAAACCAGGTTCTCGCTTCCTTTAAACAATAAATAAATATATAACTTCAATCAGAAGAAAGAAAGCAGCTCTGGAGAGCAGCTGTTTGCTTCTGGGTCACAGTTAAAGGTGTAAATGAAAGGATCCCATCACCTGACTAACAACCACCTTCACTTTTCAAAGAAATCGATGTGCACGAGGCTGATATATCATTCCTGGAAGAAGGCATGCCTTGCTTAACAGAACTTGGAAAATACGAGTATGCAAGCAGAGAAGCTCCCACTGTGATTGACAACCCCACACCACTCCATATCAATCTCCATTTCATCTTTCTCCTTAAGCGTCGTCGGCGAGTAGGTTCTGCACACCCCAACAGGAAAAGGTCACCATCCCATTCTTACAAGAAATAACATGCATGAATACACCAAATCAAAAACAATTAAACCAGGTAGCTTGCAACAAAAGCAGTTATAATTGATTTTATGTGGGTAATTATATCATATGAAAGAGGATTACATGCAAATATGATTGTTTATGCAAAATCACACCAGAAAAATCATCAGGTAAGAACTTCAGTAAAAAATTTTTAAGAAAACATAATGTGCATGAAGAAGCAAAAGAAATAGTCTAATGAATTAAGGGAAAAGTTCTTCCACCCACTTGCAAAACTTTAACCATGTATCACCACCACCAAATTGACTAGAAGAGCAAAAAACGCCCTAGACCTTTTTCTTGAGCGGAAGACCCTATAATCTCAAATAGTTAAATTTATTGGATAGAAACCCTAAAATTTCTGATTACATTATTTAACCCTAGCA